GCTGTCGTAAACAACCCTGCTGTAGCTAGTGCTAACCACAAGCTAACACTAACATGAGCCAACTAACACTAAAATAAACCACTAAGTTAAAAGATCTACACTGTTGGACGAAAATATTACATGTCCAGTAGCAACAAAGCCAGGTCACCATCAATTCGGGATTTTGTAGCGTCCTTTAGCTCCTTCAGGCTAGTGTAGGCTGCGTTGATGTTCACTCTGGTTTTAGCTCTTTGCTTCACCTTCAAAGACATTACTCTCCTACTTTTACTTCCAGGCTCCGCCATGACGCCAACAGAAAAAGCAAACTTATTTTTCTTCTTCTTCTTGCGCTTTGTATTGATGATCGGCAAACTGAAAACGCTAACCGCTAGAGTATTACCTGCATAACAGCTGTTAAAGAGCACCCCCTATAGAACACCTACCTGGTATCTGGTCAGCGGAGGGCTGCAGAGTGTTGTCAAATATGAAGCCAATCAAGTTTCTAACTAGGCAAAGGCCGATGTATCGGGCCGATTATTATTATTTTTTTATACATCGGAATCAGCCGACATTTGTCCTTTTAATAAAGCGGACTTAAATTCAGGAACATCCTCGGGCAGCCTGCTGCTGTTGCAGAATTTAATATAAATGTATTTTTATGTTCACTAATAACTTCTGCATAGGAAATACTCAAAACATCAACTAATGTTTTAGTGACACTTTAGTATGAAAATAAGGTGGAAAATGTCTCGATATCGGCTTCGAGTTCACTGAAATCACCAACTTGCATACATATTTACATTAGAATCAGCAAAGGGCGCATTAAATTATAATGGATGATAGCCAATCTTAAACCAGACATAGCAAACAAATGCTTCCTTAATGAGGTGTTTTTTTGTGTGTGTTTTATTCCTTCATGCATCACTATAAAGAAAAAAGACAAATCATTAAATACTTGCAGCTAGGGCTGCTCGATTATGGCAAAAATAATAATCACGATTATTGTGACTGAAATTGAGATCACGATTATTTAGGACGATTTTTCAATTTATGTTGATTTTATTTGTTTTTATTCAGTCATAAAACTGCTCAGGGCACAATCAGGACAAAAATAAATAAGAAACAAGATGATCACTAAAATAACTCCTGATTCCCATTATAAAAAGACCAATATACTTACAGCTCATAGTTTATGACCCAAGGGCTATAGACCTTGGTTTAACTTAAGTCTAACCAGTACAGACCCAAACGCCAATATCTTGCAAATACTGACAGCAAGAATTATACAGCGGCATTTACAACAAATAAACGCAACTAAATTGATGTTCACAAAATGTTGCATAACATTTATTGAAGTCGTGTCAATGTGATGTAGGCGAGTGCACTAGCACCGTGTCCTCAGAGAGATTAGTTATTATTTATCAGCGTGAGGAACTTATTTCTACCTTATTTATAAACTATTTATATACAAGTCCATTAGTTAATGTAATAATTGTCCCAACCACAGCTGCACCCCCAACCCCCAACCCGGTCTCACAGCAATCGGGGCAAGCTGCACGTGTGTTTAGCGCGCCGCACACGCACATTTAGCCGTTTTTAGTGGCTCAGGAGTCCATAAGTGCGATGTGTGTGTCACTCACTCTGGTTAATCCAACAAGAAGCCGGCTCCGAGAGCTGTCTTTAGCGACTGACACATCACTGCATCATTCCTTTTTCTAATGTCCTGAAGAACGGTCTGGAGCGCAGGCGGAGTGTTTAGCTAACCTGCAGGAAACGTCGACGACAGTTATCCAGAAAGTAGCTAAGGGTTACCAGAGATGTTTCTGAGGTGTTCGCTAGGTACTTTTACGTTAAAAAGTTTAGAAGGGGGTCTGAAAAGCTGCTAGAAATAGCGTCAAAGTCACTAAGTTGGCAACACTGTGGGAGGAGCGCTTCATTTGCAACTCAGGGCAGCGCAAGTGGGAGGAGCAAATAATCGGCTTGTTTTGTTTTTTATAATCGTTCAAAACTCAGATCGTAATTGTGATTAAAATTCGATTAATTGAGCAGCCCTACTTGCAGCGGTGCAGACTGTTTAGTTTATACATGTCGTCAGCAGACGTCATGAAAACTATAAAAGCACTTTTCACCTCAACTGTTCAGCTCTTCTTTGGCATCTCTTTTCCTCTCATTATGCTGATCAGTCAACGCTCCCTGATCTACTCGAGTCACGCCTCATTACTGACTACACACACGAATGAGCCTGCATCACTGCTTAATGCAGATACTCTCTAGAAACAGGAACATAACTGGCTAAAATCCACATTAAATGTTACCTAACCAACATTTAAGAGCATTTGTGGCTGTAGAGGAAATATAAATCACTCAGTTTGAGTCATTGAACGTCCTACTCAAGTTGAAGGGTAATTTTCTGTTAATTTTAGTTCAGTTCTTTAAGTTTTTTTTGTTTGTTTTTTTTGAAATCCAAACCGTGACATTTCTAAGAGTCCATATAGTGATTGAAGATGGATTCATGAGTGGTTTTCAGACCTAAATAATGGGGCTTTACACACGGGAGGCGACAAACGACAGCGATCAGCAAAATTCGTCGCTGTCGCTTTTATTACCTGACACACAGGAGGCGACCCGTAGCAGCGGCCAGCGGCAAAGCCGTTGACGCGTTCTGTTCCATGGCGAAATCGAATCTTCCGTTATTTTGATTGGCTGTGTCAGGTTGGAGGGAATTAAGGTTTTTTAAGCAGTTCAGAGTTAAAAAAGTGGTAGATATGATGTTTCACAAGGTGCTGCTAGAGTTATGTGAAATCTTACTTCTGATTTTACTACATAAAAAACCCGAGAATGGGTTCATCCCATATTACAAACCAGGAGAGGGCTACTCTCTGTCTATCAGGACATGCTTCAATTTATCACACAATTTGGACCTCACATGAAGATGAACTCAGTCACAGAAGGAGAAACGGAGTCCATGTTTGCTCGGAGATGTACGGAGCATCCTGACCGCTCATTGGTCAGTGAATGAAACCTTCGTTGATTGGTCCTCGTCCGAGCGACAGCGATGAAAAGTTGAAAATATTTCAACTTTCTGGGATTGCGTCGCTGGGTCGCCTGTGCACGACACGTGCACTAGCGCAAAATTTCACACGCACGTTTTTCGCGTTTCGCTTAGTAGGAGGGAGACCCGCGCATGTCTTATTGAAAATGAATGAGAAGAGGCGATGTCGCCTCCTGTGTGTCGAGCCCATAATACTCAAACCAAAACAAAAGAGTCACATCATCAGCGTAGAATGATACTTTGTGGCTCTACTGGGTCGCAGATGGTGGACTTATTCTTGCAAAAGTTTGGATGTTTGAGCTTTGGCTCCAGGGGAGGATCTGGCATTTTTTGCTGCTTCAGGTTGTTTTTAATTTCACTTAAAACTAATTTAGTAATTTTCACACCGGAGTAAGTCGGTTTGAGGAGTTATATTTGTGAATGAGGCTAATGACTGGTGAGTTGTGAATAACGCGCTCGGTGTGCGCTGATGTTATCTGGCAGATGTAGCAGCACCGACTAGAGTGGGCTTGTGTGTTTATGGCAGGTAGTTAATTATACGAATGTGTTTGTCCGTTCTTATATGTCTCCACACGTCCACACTGACCACAGGCCTGACAGGCAGGACTTAATTAGTCGCCACGGCTGCTGCTGCTGCTGATGTATCCTGACAGGAACTGTGGCGCTGACAGAATCTCCCGCCTCCAAGCAGAGAGCCATGCTGGGACTAACGGGGTCCGCTCTTTCATCCAGCAGTGTGTTTATCTGCAGTGTGTGTGTGTGTGTGTGTGTGTGTGTGTAAAAGTTAGAATGAATGAAAAATGTCCATCAGTTACTCGTTAGGAAGTGTGTGAATTTGCTAGTGAGGAAAGGATTAACTGAGAGGCAAATAAAACACCCTCTTGCGAGGTAAACATTGTGAAACTCTGAAATTGCCTGTGGATTTCCAATCCGTACGTGTGAAGATGGAATAACTTCAATCATGGCTTTATTCATCCCATCGCTATCTGTAACCCTCTTCACCTCATCCCTGTTTTCCTTTATTCATCCCGGGAGGGCAAACAGAACAAGCGTTGTGAAACGTGTCAACAGCGCGTCTCAACAGATCCACGGAGAAAAAAGATTTATGATGATTTACGCAGAAGTTACTAAACAAATCCACTTGTAGAAATCACTTTGCAAACTGAGGAAAGCGATAAAAAATAAAAGTGCAGCTTTGGATCTAAAATTGCTGCTTTCATTCTGCGTTCGTTTGATTTTCCTAAATGACCAACGAGAGTCAAACAGACGATCGCTGCTCTCTACCTCCCCATCGTCTGATCGTGAACATGTGTGTGCACACGTGTGTTTGGTTTGCTGGTTGTGAACTCAGAGATGAATCTTAATGGCTGTCATTTAACCTTTGACCTCAACACACAGAAAAATGCACACACTCAAAGCTCTAGTTTACTAGATGATCTGTAGCAAGTGAAGCGCTTAGGGTTTAAGTGGGGCATGGTGGTGATTTTTGTGTGTAGGAGTGAGAGAAAGTGTGTGTGTGTGTGTGTGTGTGTGTGTGTGTGTGCGTGCGTGCGTGCGTGCGTGCGTGCGTGTGTGTGTGTGTGCAGGAAGGGAAAGGTTGATTGGTTTCAACAGTCAAAAGGCAGTGGATAATGTTTTTTCCTTAAATGATTTTTAGTGAAAGTCATCCAACCTTCACCATAAAATTTGATCATAAGGGTTATAATTTCATCATTTTCCAGAATAAGATTATATCACCTTTAAAATGTTACAAAAAAAAAATCTTGGTTTTGCAAGATTCGCAAAACGCACCCTTTGCATCCTTTTGTGCAGCCATGGGAGTCTTTACTGCTTCTATATACACTCCAAACATAAAAAATGTGTTTTTTGGAAGTGGAATAACAGTCTTAAATCAAGCCATTTCAAAAAGTCCCACATTGTGATGTCACAAATGGGTAAATTCACATAGAACCCCTTCTCACCTCTCCAGGATGGAAGGAGCAGCAGCTCTACACTAAGACCCTTGCAGATATCTGAGCTCCTCAACTCATAGCAGCCAATCAGGGCATAGGTGGGCGTGGCCAACAGCAGCTTGTTTTTTAAAGTGACAGAGCCCTGAAACTGCTCATTCTGGAAGGTACTGAGAATGATATAACTGCCTATTGTGAGAGTGATTTAGTGCAAAATTCTTCATAAACATTATTTTTATAGACTGTAGAGCTGTTATATCTCTGTTTAAAAAATCACAATAGATCTCCTTTAAAATAAAAACATTCCGATTAAACCCAACATAATGCAGACTTCTTTATGGTATCAGTGAAGTAACTTTTAAGTCAAATATTTAGTTTTGACCCATTGTGATTTACAATAAAGCTGCTTTTTGTTAAATGGAATCAAATTTAGTCTTTTTTTTAATCTCTTTTGATATTTGGTTTGGTTATTGATTCAAATCTACACACAGGGCTCAGGGATGGTGTTCGATTGGGTGAAAAACGACAAACAAGTAAAAAATATTAATGTTTAATTGATCTCTGACACAGGTTGACGTGTGACTTTTATTTAAATATTCAAGCTTTAAATTTTTTCCTCAAATCAACAACTGGATAAAAACACAGAGCTGAGAGGGGGAACCCTTTTCTGCATGTTGCACATCTGGCCACATCTGAGTTAACAGCACACCAGGTGTTTTCCACCTGCAGTCAAAGACGCAACACGTTTGGATTCACGAGGAAATGAACAGATTTTGTTGGTTAAACCTTTGCACCAAAGGCATCTTAAAGACAAAAGCTGATGCATCTTGAGAGTGCTGCATTTGGCAGGATTAGAGTCTCACTTCAGTTTCCTGTTCCAGAACACCTTCTGTTCAAAAGTTAAAATTCCAACATGAGAATACCGTATAGACGCTCATCTCAAGCAGCGGGACCGCCGAACTCCAGTCACATGAAGCTAGTGGGCGAAATCTGCCATTTGTGTGTTTGTGCATCCATCTGGCAGACCCCCTGTTAAACTCCTCCAGCACTAATGCACATATGGACGAGACGCATGCACGCACGCACGCATGCACGCACACACACACACACACACACACACACACACACACACACACACACACACACACACACAAACCCATATGGGGAACAGCTGAACAAGAGTGCCTACCCTTCTACCCATCCTCTTGATTTCACCCCAACTCCACGCGGAGCCTCAGGACTCCTCCAGGTGTCCGGTTTCCCTCTCTTCCCTGTTTCCCCTTCTGCTCCGTGCCTGAGAATCAGCAGACCACTGACAGATTCACCACTTTCAAAATGCTGCTTCTGTGTGAAGTCAGTAAAGCGAACGACACACTACAAGTCCTCTGCCATGACCTGTGTAGTTTTTCATGTCCCTTCACACAGAAACAGTAATGTGCTTGAGTTGTTCAGGAGGGGTCACATAAGGACTTTTAACTATGTGGTTAAACATGTGAGGCCGATGATGGATAAATGAATTAAAAGCTAACCATCAAAGCCAAATATATTTGATTTACTTTTGTAAAAAGCATAAATAATGAAGAATATCTGGTTTATTTTGTTTTCTAATTATTTCCCCTTTTTACATTTTTGCTCTGGTTTTTGTTAAACGGTTCCAAAATACATAAAAGCTGTCATTGGGGTTCTTATAGGTGCTTACTCAAGGCTTTGAAAGGGGGAAACTCCAGTGATATTTACTTAAATGAGTCCAGTAGGTAAAATTATTGATTCGATCCTTAATTTAAATACCACGAATGTAAGAAGCTGGGTAAGCTCGAAAACTCACCTTGAAAGGCCTCAAATTGAATTATTCAACCGTCGGCGATTTTCCAACCCTTTGAACGACATTTTTTATGCCTATGAATTAGTCTCACATATGTGACATTGCTAAATTCCTCGTCAAATCAGCGTCTTCTCTGTACACATACATAGTACACATTAGAGATGTCCGGATCTGATCACATGATCGGAAGTCGGCCCCGATCACGTGGTTTCAGACTGATCGGGACTCTGGCTTTACTTCCCAATCCAAGCCCCGATCCGGACTTGAATTCCCTCTAGGATTAATAAAGTATCTTTGAATTTGAATTTACAGGAGAGCAACTTGGTTCTCCTTAAAGGTTGTCAGGCTCCCCTGATGGCCTTAACTTACACACCCAGTTTCTACCCATATTATATTATTTACATGGACTCAGCGTAGCGGGGATTCTTTTGAGCAGAGATGCAGAGAGCGGCAGGCAGACCGCTGATTATTCATGACCTCCAGCTGCGTTCTGCACACGGCCACAGTAACATTTCCTAAGTTTCTAAGTGGCGTCACCAAAAAATATATAATTAACACACAGTCATTCGTGTCCGTTCATTTTCTCTCTGGTAAGTTCTGTCTGTATTTGAGCATGACGTGTGGACGCGCTCGCGCTGCAGCGCTCGTCACTGGTGCAGCCGGGCAGCGCGGCGTTTGCGGTCAATAGATCAATTTGATCTGCTGGTTAAAAAGTTACTTGTGAGGTGAAAAAGAAGGAAGCAGGCAGGAGTTTTTCTGGTGGACTGGGAGTTGCAGGAAGATCAGAGACAGACAGGACAGGAAGATAGGAAAATAAAAACCATAAAACAAAACTAAGTTCTTAAAAAAAGAAAATGTAGGTAGATCTATCCCACTACACATTTGTACCTGTATAAAGCAATAATTTATCAGCATGTAGTATTTATATAGTTGATACAATTCAGATCATCTTCAAAACTCCGTCCCATGTCCAGGGACGTATCTAAGCATTTTGTGGGCCGAGGCAAAATAGACCCCTGCCAGGTATTTTAAGTTGAAGTGCTATCTGTTTTTATATTAGACTTTTTATATCGACTCGAGGGCAAAAAAACCTGATCGGGACATCCCTAGCACACATCATTAGTAAGCTGGGATTTTTGTGATTCCAGTGAAATATGGAAATCAAGGATTAAACCATAACTGTCGACATAGTAAACGCTTTTGTTAAACCACTCAGAAATTCTAAATTAATTCCGACTCGCCGTTCGAAACCTTGCATCATTAAAGGTGCAGTATGTAAGAAGATAGTGAGAAAAGAGTCTATGTTTCAGTGATTTAGGAAGGAAGGTTACACTGAAACATATCTCATAAGCAGCTGGCTACGTAACTACTGTTTATCATCAGGGAGTGTGGCGATGCTGTGTCTCCTGCCAGCTAATGCTGCATTTCTATTTCTATATTTCTACATAGTGCACCTTTAATAGAATAAACCCTTCTCCAACAAGAAGGGTCTCCTGGTGTTGCCTTCACAATCCAGCATAATTTACCACGGAGAAAATTCCCTCAGATGCGTATCATAATCCCCAATAACATCCAGATGTTAGCTTCAAACTTTTGAGGGACATCTTCGTAAACCAATAGGTGAGGGTTAACACCCCCCCCCCCACACACACCCCCACCCCCCACTGTTGGCTGACGTACCACCCTCTATTATCACAGCGGGACAGTTTTTAATTGATTGACACATCAAATGGCCAATGAAGTTTGAAAAACAACAAAGCCACATATGTAACCCCTCTGGGCTGCTTCCTCAAACTGAGCATAATTGATTTTGATTGGTTGATCACTCCATGTAGTGTGGCAGGCTCATAGAACATCTAAGCGTTCTTTGCATGAATATACCGCCCATCGTCATTTTCTGAGCCGACCAATATTGGTTGGAAAATGTTTACAGTTCGCCCAACCCGAAGTGTCGTTCCTGGAGATAAAACCCTAATCTGTATCTGCTGATCAGAACTGGGTCAGAAATCGATATCGGCTCGATGTATTTCCAGTCCTTTTAGAAATCCCACTGAGCCATCCAGAAGGTGTCTGAGACCTGTTGTTTTGTGAAAAGAGTAATCAGCGTTCAGCTTGTTGTCACCAGTAGAATGGTGATACATTAGAGCATTAACGCAGGGTTCTGGTGGTGTCTGGAAGCATCTTTTACAGCCCTTTGGCAGCGTGTGGCCTCTGTAGTTCAGGCTTGTTGCAACACATCCCGTGATTGTGGGATTGGATTGGGAACTGGGGGTTTGGAGTGCTTTGGGTGTTCGTTTGTTTTTTGCCTCTATTTAAAGATTATTTTCTTCTGGTGATGTTCTGCAGCAATATTTAAGTTTGGGGTGCATCAAAGTTCAGAACGCAGGGACTCAGACAGCTGATAAAAGAATATAAAGGCTGTAAGAAATGATCTAATTAGAACAAAGCGCTACGTCAATAAGAAACAATAAGGAAAGGACCAAAGGAGAAAGAGATGGAAATGAAAGATGCTGAAGCAAAATGGCTGCAAAAGCAAAAAAACACACACACAAAAAAAGAAGAAAGGCAGGATGAAGAAACGACGAAAGAAAGTTAGAAAGGCTCCGGTTTTTGTGTAGGAGTGCAGTTTCAGCTTTCTATAAACCCAGGAGCTCTGAATACCGCTTATTAAGCAAGGACCATGTCTGTGTGTACGTGTGTGTGTGACAGGGTGATATATTGAAACACACCTCTGTGGAACAGCTGCAATGATGAGACAGAGAGTAGGGAGTAAGAGGTGTCGTCTACCTTACACACACACACACACACACACACACACACACACACACACACACACACACACACACACACACACACACACACGCACAGCGCTGAGCCAAGTTTTTATTGTATTACTGAGGCCAGCTTGTATCAAAGTGAAAGTACGAGGAAGAATGGGAAGAGAAAGAGATGAATTTGTTGTGACTGCTCCGGTGGACTCAGCTTTCTAACACAGCACTTATTTTTTTCTACTCTCCCCTCTCCCCTCCTGCTTTCTCTTCACTAATTTCATCTTTTCTCCTCTCACCCTCCAATCTTCGTCTCCGTGTGTGCTTGCATCGCATTACCCAGATAGCTAAACTGATACGTGGAGTGGCAGGAGTGAGGAGTCGGGCAGAATAAAAAGTGACGGACAAGTGGAAATGGAAATGGACAGAAAGCAAAAATTGAGAAATGAAACACAAAGAGAAAGAGATGGAACGGCTCAGACAGATGAAAAAAAAAAGGAGTGAATAGATTAATCTGATTTATCTAAAATGAAATCAGCTTCAGTCTGTTTTGAGGAATGTGCCCAATTCAGACTTT